ATAACAGGCTAGCAAGGAAAATTGAGCCAGTCACCATTATTTTTTGAGTGCCTAATATGTTACAGGCCCTGAGTCAGGAGCTAGGGCACAAAGGGAAACAAAATCAGACACAGTTCTGCTCTTGGGAAGCTGACAGCGCTAGTGGGGAAGAGCAACATCAATCACATACTCACACAAGCAAAATGAAAATACGAAGTGACAAGCAGCAGGAAGGTGGGTGCAGGAGCTGTGAGAGTAATACGCTGCCCAGTGGGGAAGTCTGGGAAGGCTTCCGTGAGGGTGTCACTGCAAGGCTGCGATCAGAAGGCCCAGGAAGGGTTAACCTGGGGAGAGGAGAGAGAACATTCCAGGCTGGGTGCCAAGACTGTGCAACAGAAACCTCTGACAAAGGACTAAAAGGAGGCCCATGTGGTTGGGGTTGCAGAAATGAGTGGCACTGTGGAGTGAGATTAGGTTGGAAAGGATGGGTAAGGCAAGGCCATTAAAAATTTTCAAGTAGGGGGTGCTGGGCTCAGATTTGCATTTTGAAAAAAATTACTTTGGGGTATGGAGAACAGATTGGAATGTTAAAAAGGCTTGAGAGGAACTGAGTCAATGGGTCTCATGTGGAGACCAGCAATTTAATATAATTATTCAGAGCAGCATCTTATCTATGTGTGTGTGTTTTAATGTAATATTTAAACTAAATGAATACACATAAATAGTTCAAAATATCAAATAGCACTAATACTATTAGGCTTATAAAAAATAGTAGTCCTCTGACCATCCCTCCCATACCCCTTGCACCCTCCACTGAGGATCCCTTCCTCTACTCTTAACTATTCCTCTGGTATTTACCACTCCCCCCCTTTTTTTTTTTTAACATAATATGCTTAAAGTACTACTTATTTTTCAGTTTTAAACACTGTTTACTTCCTACTATGGAAGTAAAGAATTTCTCGATCTTACCCCACATCCCATCCCACCACCCCCCGTTAAACTCTCTTCTTATCCTGCCAAGAGTGAACATTCAAAGTATTACCAGCATTTCCTTTTTATTCTTTCCATATAAGAAAAAATACTCTGACTCACTCATTGCCTGAAAATCCATCAATTAGGACAGAACCAGTACATTTCACTATAAATTTATATCTTCATGAAGACAAAAGATGTACCTTCTTTTGTATACCTTCACTGTACATCTGTCATGAACATATTTGAAGCAGTAAGGATTTTTACTCCTTTAAGTAAAAACTGCCAAATTTCTAAGATGGCATAAGAGCAGTCAAGAAAATCACAGTTGAATTATATGTGCTATGAAAGACATCATAAAATTATTTGCACTAGGAAGCAAAAATAATCTTTATAAGACAAATGTCTTGCAAGAGAAGTATTAGAAGGGTCATTAATTGATGATACTCAACATCATCTATTGATGGAGTAGCAAAACAGGCCTCTCACGCTCCTGCAGAGTGTGAGCTAGCAAACAGGTGGGCGGTTCCCACCCAGAGTCTAAAAACCCAAGTCACGTGTTTTGAGCTTCAGAGAAATCAATCCTATGGAAATACTCAGAGATACAAAGATTTACGCCCAAGAATATTCATGATAGCACTATTTATAATAATGGAAAACAATCTCAATGCCCCAAAAGTAGGAAAACAGTTAAATTATATTACATCTATAGAATAAAATAATATAAAATGGTTCAATTCATACTTTCAAACAACAGTTAATGTTGTGGGGAAACGCTCATAAAGTTAAATCAGAAAACAGTTGAGGTCAACCTACATGTAAAAATATGCGTGTGAACATGTGTGTAATATACACAAATATATAAACATATTATATATTTAAATATATATACAATATCTATACACACTCCAATTTTTTTAAGTGCGTAGAAAAAAGTCAGTTTTTTCTCCTAGTGTGGTGTGCCCATATACTTCAGAATCACCTGGGGGGCTTAATAAAGATGCAGATTCTTGGGTTCTACCCCAGACATACTGAATTAGTCTTGGGAATCAGAGCCCAAGGATCTCCGTCTACCTACACCCTTGTCCACCTATGTACTACCTTGAGTAATACTGACTCACACCTCAGTTTGAAGACCACTGGTCCAGAAGTAGTAACTCTCTGGATGGTAGAATCATAAGTAATTGTCTTTTCTTGAATCTTTAACAAAAGTTCTCTACCGCGCTTACACAGATTTTATGATTAAAAGTATATTAATGAAGCATGAATATTAGAAAACAGAGCTGATTTAGGGTCTATTTGGGCAAGTTTAAAATACCTTTTGGGAACTGGAAAGTACATATTTTTTATCTAAAATAAACATCTATGGATTTCTGACAACTGAAAGTCAGTTTAGGACAAAGAAAATACTATACTAAGTGTAGGTATGGAATTCATTACTTTATTAAATTTTGCAGGTAAATGTATAAACATAATACTTTTCAGCAGTGTTAAGGAACAGCAGCAGTGTTCCACACTGTTCCTTGGCAAAAGAGGATTCAGTGATCAAATAAGCTTGGGGCACAATACTATTCTAATCTCCTCTTAGAGTCATAGAACCATGAGCAGATTACAGGCTCTGGGAAGTCCAAGACAAGCTTCATTCTTAATTCTAGCTCCACAAATTCTTAGAATGGCCTACCATTAAGAACAAATTCTAGGCCAGCAGAGAGTCTAAGAAAGACTTTTCACCATGGACTGATACCCTACACTTGATCCAACATATCAATTCATTCCAACATTCCCGTGGTCTCTGTGGGCTTAGCCCATGTATATTAATAGAGCCTGATTCTAAGTGTACAGCTCAAGTCAGCTACCAAATAATGCTCAGGAACAGCAAAGTTGAGTGCCAGGCTACAAGATCAGGAGAACATTTAAAGAAACTGTACACTTAGTTTTGTTTATCTATCTCCACCACCTAGACTGTGAGCTCAGGCCTGGAATTTTCTTATATTCATTTATGTACTCTCAACACAATAAAGCCTTGCACTTAGTTGGTACTCAGTGAATGGGGCACCACCAAACGGGTAGTTTATATTTTCTGGACAAGTGCAGCAATGAAATGGGGTAGGCCCAGGTCCTACACTTTAGGTCCTAAAGTTTGTGCACGCATGATATCAAGGCCTCATTTCATTCAAGAAACATTTCTGAGTGCTTACTATGGGTAGGCATTTCCAAGAATGTAGAGGTGACTAAGATACAGTCTTTACTCTCAAGGGCTCCATGCAGTAGAGGTACCAGTAGTACTAGCCCATTCCTTCTTGTACAGGTTTGGGCACACAGTAGGTGTCTAATAAATGCTTATTTGGATTGAGTTCAGAAACCAAGATACACATTAAGTCTGGTCAAACTTTGGTACTTTGGGGGCCGAGAGCCTAGAGTAGGGCAGAACCAGACCATTCTGGATACTTCTTCAGAATGAGTGAGATCTTGAGTAACTAGACCTATCCTGACTACCACTACTCTAGAAACTCCAGAACCATCCAGGAGTCAAAATTTTTCACCAAAGAAGCCTCAGAACCCACAGGAATTTAACAGCATACACCATGACAATGTTTCTAAATGTGTACTGTAAAACTCTCTAGGTTCTTGAGATATTAATAAATAGTAAGTATATGGTGAAATAGGACTGAGAAATGGGTTCAAGAGAGTTGACAGGCCTCCATACCACAAGATGTCTCAACACCTTTAAGCAATGTGCTATGTTCCTTTTATGCATAGTCTCATTTAATCTTCACAACCATCCTATGAGGTAGGTTTTATTATTATTCCCATTTTAGAGATGAGCAAGCCAAAGCTCAGAGAAAGTAAGTAATCTTCTCCAGACCACACAGGTACCAAGATAAGGTACAGAATGGGACTCTGAAATCAGATCTTTCTGACACCAAAAACTGGTCTATGACCACTCAAGCAGTACTGTTTTTAGTACGTTGATGGGCACTAGAACACTCCCAGAAGGACATACAGCATAAAGGGTTTCCCAAATTGTTTGATTAGGGAACCCTTTTGAATGAATCAATACTTGAGACCAACTTTCCATGTAACACATTTTGAGAAATATGGTGGGGCAAATGAGTCAGAGACACCCCATGGCAGAAAGAAGGGAGGTAGAAGGCAGCTCAGAAGGAAAAGCTAATCTAGAAAAAACATTAAAATTGTGCTCAAAGAATTATTAATAGGGACATGTAAATTAAACCTCACTTTAGTAGATATCATTTTTTTACCTCTGTATTCATAAGCTCCAGCTCATGGCTCTTTTCAGTCAAATATTTGATATGATATTCCAATTCCAACATATTCACTTACCAAGTTCTTTAGGATTTGTTGTAGAATTTGACTTACCTAGTAGTTCAACTCATTATGTCATTAATTTTTGCAAAGTATATTCACATTGGGAGTATAAGATTTAACTTGCTGTGTATCTCAGTAGGCCTGCAATATTCATTTTTGGGTGAGATAATTCTTCATTATACAGGACTGACCCAAACTTTGTAGGATCTAGCATCCCTAGCCCCTGCTGACTAAATACCAGTAGTACTTCCCCCACCCTCCCCGTCAGTGTGACAAGAAGACATCCCCGTAATTTCAAAACTCCATCTAGGGAAGCCGTATCACCCCAGCTGAGAACCACAGGCTTAGAGCAAACCAGAAAGTTCAATAAAATATTAATTGAAGGATAAACACCTAGCCCAACCCTGCACCCAGTACTCCAGCAAAGAATTCAAGATTTAACATGCCAATCCTGCATGTCCAATGTCTCATTACATTTGTCTCTATTCTGTTAATAACATGAACAGATTCAACACAAACTGCCAAAATACCATTTTTAGCCAAGAGGGCTGAGCCCTCTGTACTTTGCCAACAACAGCAATAAAGCCAGGCAGAAACTAAGCCCAGGATTGCATGGGGTATTGGCTTATATTTGAGGCAGCAGCCGCAAAACAAGAAGTATAGCTGAATGGCCTATCATTTTGTCAAATTTAGACTTGAAAAAGGATGCTGGTTTTTTCTTTTTAAAATAATTTATTATCAAAAAGCTTGTTCCCTCTCACTGCTGAGTCAGTTCAGCAATGCAGCTCCATCTTTTTTAGGATTATTAGCACCCAAATAATTTTAGACCAAAACAACAACAAACTGGACTGTTGGTTCAGTAACATATTCACAGACATGTCAGTACGCATTCAGAACACTGGTTTCATTTCTTGATCGGAATGCCAATCACCATAAAATCTTCTGCCAAAGTCACTTCTTGGAGATCTAACACTGATTCAGCTTGCTTTTTTAGTTCTACAATCCCATCTGTTTCTCCTTCTCTGGCCAAGGCAACTGGTTTGTACCTCTGACTGAAGTGAGTCAGAACCAGCCTCTTTGCTTGGCACAACTTTGCAAACGCTGCTGCCATCTGTGGCGTGCTGTGGCCGTGCTCCTTTGCTTTGTCCATCTGGGCGTCATCCAGGGTCGCTTCATGGATCAACAGGTCTGCTTCAAAGCACAGCTTCACTCCTCCATCACCCACAACCCCAGAACAGTCACCCAAAATGCAGATTTTTCTTCCAACGATAGGTTTTTTTAAGACATCCTGGGGAGAAATTGTAACTCCATTTTCCAGAACAACAGAAATTCCATTTTTCAGCTTCCCATAGGCAGGACCTGGCGGAACACCTAATGATGGAGGCAGATAACATCACATCATGGGAATGGAATTTATGACTTTTTAAGAGAGTCTGTTTCAACGGCACAGCAAATAGCAAATGCAAAGGGCATCCAATTCTTTTCATAATTGTTATAAATATTTTACTACTTGTGGAAAACTGGAATATTTATACTTTTTTAAAAATTCAGCATTGGCTATTGATATTAGCAATGCCCTAGTACTTAAAACATTTCCCAAGCACACATGTCAGATGAGTTTTAAGCTCTTAAGTCTCACTAAGACCTTATTACAGTCAAGATAATAGTCTTGATTCTCTGCTGTGCATGGGAATAACAGTTTTTGAGAGTGTTTTATTTAATAAGCTGATCTTTGGGTAAAATTAAAGAGGCCATTTAAATAATGACAAGGTACCTACAAACTGACTAACTTAATAAAAAATTGTTAGAGGGGATTATTTGGATCACAAGATCAAGGAGAATCTTAGACAATCGTACATAAATCAGTTTTCTTTCCACATTTACTAAACTGGGCTTCAATCTCATTTTAGTCTAGAAGAACACCTGATCATCACTCTGGACAATACTTACAAACATACAGAACATGATCACTAATTCCAACATAGATCATGTTTAAAGTATCCAAATACAATAGTATTTCCACAGGTTTTTAAATAATAAAAATATCTTTGGCCTAAGTCACTTTTCCTTATTATTTAGCATTTTGTTTTAGTTGGGGAAGAAAGAAGAGATTGTGTAAATAAAGAAACAAATACACAAAAACACCACCACGCTTTTTTACAGGCTCTGCCGTGGCCATGCCAAGGAAAGTGGTGATGCTGGAGGAATACGGGACCTGGACACTGCTTTGAGAGAGGTGCTGAAGACCCCCTTGCGCATGATGGCCCACCACGGAGGAGGTATGAAGCCTCAGATGGGCCAAGCCCATCCTTGTGTACTTGCTTCCAAGTGTGATGAACCCAGGTATGTAAAATTAGTTAAGGCGCAGCGTTCTGAACAGTGAATTAACTTAGTCATGGCTGACTGAAAAGGCAACGTCGACAGAGAAGGAAAATCCTGAAAGTAATTGGTTGCAGTTGCAAGGTTAAGAGCTATGGCAAAAATTCTCAGGCCAAAGATGTCACTGGAAACATATTTGAAAAGGAAGACATGAAAAAATAAAAGCCTAAACCTAAGACAACAACCACCACCCTGCCAACCAAGACAGCATAAGCTGAAGATAAGATAGACTACAAATGTGCATCCAGGGAGCTGAAGAGAGAAGGATTCAAACATACTTGGTTTTTGCTTTGAATAACATCTTTTGGCTCCAAGGATTTCTCTCAATAAGCAAACTTTGAGCAAAGGAAGTAAGTGGAGAAAATGTCAGTTTTAGGCCTGGGAGACAGGAAAGGAAGGTTACTATGACACTTCTAACAGCCTCAGTTAACAACAGCTCAATTGATGAGTAGGGAAAAAAAACACTCACCGAGGTCCTTCAGTTTCTGGGCATTGAGTTTCCCTGGGCGTTTCTTCTCCATGACTGAAAACCCAAAGGAAGGTATTCGGTGAAAGAGGCGAAATGCTTTCACAACAAACTGTTCATCATCAACCAGAAGGTATGAGTTTTCTTCTGAGTCTAACAGGATAGTTCTTCCTTGTCCCTCTTTGGGAGGGCTGTCTGCTCTAGTCATGTGTACAAATTCTTTCAGTTCTTCTGTAGGACACTGATCCGCTGTAGGCACCAGCTCATGGACAACATAAGGGAAGACCAACTCCGTGTGAGAGAGTTCCATGGTTCGCCAGATAAAGTCCCGAAGCCCTGCAGGGCCGTAGATTTCGATAGGCTGTTTGGTGACCATGGAGCCACTCTGCAGGCTGATTGTGCAGAGGAGGCCAGGAAGGCCAAAGAAATGGTCTCCATGAAGATGCGTGATGAAGATCTTGGTAATTCTCCCTTTTGATTGAGGCAAAGAAATAAATTTGGGAATTTTTCAGAAATAAAAACCCATACAAAGCTACTTGCAACATGTGTAACAACTTAATAGAAAGCAGTAAAATGAATTTAGAAGCTCTACTTATTGCCATAAACTTATTTCTTTACATTTTTCTACATGATTCCAGAAGCAAGAAAGATAGGCTTTATTTCACCAGATGGTGTTAATAAGATATAACATTTTTCAAAAAATATTTTCAAATTACATAGTGTTACAGTTTTGAGTATATTCCTACACATCCTCTTACTAAACAAAAAAAAAAAGAAATAAGGAAGTGTACCAAAATAATTCACTTAAATAACTAGATAGGCCTCAAGTATCAAAAGCATCTGGCAGTTACACTGCCCCCTACTGCTCCCTCTGAGAATAGCAAATATATACTTTCAGCAAAACAAATGTTCCCCTGGCTCCAATTGTCTGGACCAGTGCCTGAACCCAAAACTGCCTTTTAAGGACTCTCTACGCCGGACAGAGATTAACTAACCAAGTCTGAGCCTGCCTGTCTGGGTGAGGTTGAAGAGGGAGGAGAAAAAGGAAGGAGGATGAAGGAAGGAGAAGGGGAGGAGGGAGATAAAAGGAGATAGGAGAGGAGCAGGGAGAGGGCAGGAGGTGGGCAATAGAGCCAGAATGTAGATCAGAGGGCAGACCCCCTACAGTGTTACTTAAAGGTACATGGACCCATCCCTTCCTTTCAGTCTGAATTAACACAACAGCTTTCTCAGTGCATATTGGCTTAGGCTATAACTTGATTTACCCAATAGTAAACTGAATTTACTGCTGGTATGTGGCAAGATGCCACATCAGCATTTTTCTGAGATGCACCATAAGGCATTTTAAAAGTAACAATCACAATTAACACATTTTTAGTATAACAGAGGCTTCCAGTCCTAGCTCATGGCCCACCTATTTCAAACATTTGATACCATAAAAGAATAGGAACAGTTTATTGATGCCATAAAAGAACAGGAATAGTTTACTGTAAAGTGATTTGTTCTGTGACATCAAGGCAAAAGTGTTCTCCAAGCAAGTCTTCTCAGAGTTACTACACCAACCCAGGCCCTTGTGGCAGAGAACAAAAGACTGGGCAGAGGCTGATCTTGGACCTTGACAATCCCCAGGAGGCACTCTAGAAGTTCCCTCGATATACTCCTTTTTGTTTTCTCTTTTTAATCCTTGGTTTTGCTGTTTTTTGACTTCTAGAACCCTTTCATTTCCCCCTTCCTGCTGTCCGGGCTGCCAAGGCACCCCCAAGTGTGACGTGAGGCCTCTGCAGACAAAAGAAGTACAACGGTTGCTGAGTCCTGATCTCACGCTGACCTCAAAACTGCCATATCAGACTTTCTGGGCCCTCTCCCTATCTACTGCAAAACAGAGCCAAAACTGAACACCAAAACAATCTGTGAACCCAAAGCAAGTGAGACAAATTAAGTAAAAAATTGCTTCCCACAGTTATCACAGTTTCAGGGAAGACAAACATTTCATTTTTCAAGAAATTTGATTTCAGAGGGAGAAGGAATGGCAACCACAATTATCAAAGGCAAGAGGAAACTATCAAATGAAGAAAGAAAAATGTATGAGTTCCTTTTCATTTGAGAACAAGAAAGTTACCGGCGAATATGTCATCCACAGAGGAGTGGAATACTAAGCATCCTCTAAGTGATGATGCAGTTGTATTTACTGCCAGAGGAAAATGTCTGCAATATATTGTTCATATATATTGTTCAGATGAAAAAAAGCAGGGTATACCAAGTGTAGTGTGATTCCATTTATGTAGAATTACATATACACACAAATACACCTACACCATTACCATATCTACATGTACAGAAAATTTACCTATGAGAGGGGGATTTAGGCTTTTCTTATTTATACTTCTCTGCTTTGTTTGAACTTTTACAAGCATTTATACTTTTTCTAATAATTTTTTTTTTGTGTGTGAGGAAGACCAGCCCTAAGCTAACATCCAAACCTGGGCTGCCAGCAACAGAGTGCACGCACTTAACCGCTATGCCACGGGGCCAGCCCCTACATCTTGGTTTCTCTCAGTAACCCAATATGGACCTATCATTATTTGATTCATTGAAACTCACCTTGTACTACCTCCTGGGATAATAATATTTTGCGAGTTTCATAAGGAAGTACTTGCTGTTTATCCAAACATACTTTCAAGCTTCTAATATGCAAGGTCCTAACATGCAAGCATCTGATTAATAGGCACAGGTTTGCCATGTCTATTTCCTTCATAATTTTAAAGAGTGAGCTTAAGCTTTCTTTTTTTTCCCTCAAAAATGATTATAAAAAGTATTACAAAAGTGTAATTAAAAAATGATTAGAAAAACAGGGCTGGCCCGGTGGCGCAAGCGGTTAAGTGTGTGCGCTCTGCTGCAGTGGCCCGGGGTTCGCCGGTTTGGATCCCGGGCGCGCACCAACGCACCGCTTGTTAAGCCATGCTGTGGCGGCGTCCCATATAAAGTGGAGGAAGATGAGCATGGATGTTAGCTCAGGGCCAGTCTTCCTCAGCAAAAAAAAAAAAAGAGGAGGATTGGCATGGATGTTAGCTCAGGGCCAGTCTTCCTCAGCAAAAAAAAAAAAAGAGGAGGATTGGCATGGATGTTAGCTCAGGGCTGATCTTCCTCACAAGAAAAAAAAAAAAGAAAGAAACCAAGATGTATTGAGGGTGCTGCATTCCAGTTTGAGACTGGGGGCTTTTGAGGTGCTAGGGAGTCATAGACAATGTTCTGGGATTACCATCTCTCTCTCCTCTCTGAGGCTAGGAATTTTTTTTTTAAGCCAATAAAAATCTAGTAAACTAAAGGTTCCCTTAGGCTTTATTTCATTTTATTTTAATTTTTTGCCAGGCTTAGCTTTGCAAACGGTTTACTTTAAAAAGATATAAAATAGCTATAAAATATTAGAGAAAAGGAATTGAGTTAGATAGATTTAAGGTGGTACCCCTGGCCCCCACCTCCTGGTGTTCACATCCTTCTATAATTCCCTCCCCTTGAGTGTGGGTGGGACTTGTGACTTGCTTCTAACCAGTAAAATATGGCACAGGGATACAAGGTGATTATGTTACATCATAAGAATCCATCCTGCTAGCAGACTTGCTCTTGAGTTTCCTTCTCCCTTGCTGGCAGTAAGGAAGCAAGCTGCCATGAAGCAGAAACCCACATGACCAGGAACTTCAGGAGGCCACCAGGAGCTCTGGGCAACCTCAGTCCCACAACTATAAGGATTCTGCCAACAACCTGAGTGAGTTCTGAAGCAGATTCTTCCCCAGTTGAGCGTCTGATGAGACCTCAGCCCTAGCCCATAACAGGATTGCAGCCCAGTGAGATCCTGAAGCAGAGAACCCAGCTAAGCCAGGCCTTAATTCCCTGACCCACAGAAACTATGAGCTAATAAATGCAAATAAGCCACTAAATTTGTAATCTGTTATGCAGCATTAGATAACTGATACAGGTATTAAATAAAAAGTAAAGACTTATCCCTACACTCAAACCTCTGGAACCCACACTTAACAGTTTCTGGTTTCTATTTTAATGACCCTGCCACTTAACCTCCTACTCTCTACCATGTTAAATATTACAGCTTCCACTCTGGCCTGTGCCTACCCTGAGAGTTCTCATGAAAGAAACCCCTGTGTGATCCAAGGGAAGTAAAGTATAGTACCTGCCCTCACCTCAGGGTTTCAACACAAGACAGTATATAATTAGGGTTGAACTGTATATACCTCAAGGCCATGTGTCCCAAGTGAGATGCATTATTAGCTCCTTCCTCCAACAGCTCTTTTCCTGACTCCCTATCTAGGTCTGGGACTTCACCACCTATAACTTGTAATAATGCTTCTCTTCTTCATACCCTAGGCATTCATCAGTCACCACCTCTTGTTGGCTCTACAAGTTATCTCTTAAATTGAGTCTCTCGTCTTCATCCCTATCCCCATGTCCTGCTTCAACATCCTCTTCCTCTCTCTCTCTCTCAGATGAATGCAGCTGCCTTGAACTGGTCTCCCTGATGTTATTCTCTCTCCCAATACATTTGCCATTGGAAAACTGTCCTAAATCACAAATCAGACCATGTCGTTTCCCTGCTTAAAAACATTTAATGGTTCTTTATTGCCAATAGAATTCAGTCATGCACCGCCTAATGACGTTTCAGTCAATGATGGACTGCATAGACGACGGTGGTCCCATAAGATTAGTACCATATAGCCTAGGTGTGTAGTAGGCTATACCATCTAGGTTTGTGTAAGAACTGTATGGGAGGAAGAAATTTTCCTGTACCCTTCTAGGTTCTTCTGGCTGGTCTAAGAATTAAATTGACATGAGACTGATTAACAGGAGAAAAACAAACAAAACTTTACAACATGTATACATGAGAGAAACCGTGGAAAACCGAGTAACTCACCAAAATGGCCAAAGCCCTCACCTTAAATACCATCCTCAGCTAAAGACAAAAGAAGATGTTGGGGGAGGGGAGAGTCAAGGGCTTCGAAGGGAAGGAAGGCAATTCACAGGTATGTGAAAAGGAGCAAACATTTGGAAAACAAGTGTTTGGCCACACAGAAATAGAAGAACACAGAGGGGAGCCCAACCAACAGGCCTTTCTAGGTTCCTCCCTGTCTACCACCTAGTTCACTTTATGCTAAGGTGATAGCTCACTTCCTGAGACAGGTTTTTAATCTGAATTCTTTTAGGCAGTTAAGGGGGCAGTAACAAGAAAAACTTTCTGAGTCTTTGTTTATTAAAAATAATTAACCTAAAATAATCTTCATGTTCAAGAGACATATTTTGGGGTGACAAATTTTGTTCCCCTTCAGTATACTCTATGATGTTTGCAGGCCTAATGACACATTTCTCAGAACATATCCTCATCGTTAAGCAATGCGTGACTGTAATAAGGCCCAAAACCTTAGCATACCATAGAAGACTTCACAGTCTGCCCTCACTTACCTTTTCAGCATTATCTCCCATCTATCCTAGCCAAGTATTCAATGTTTTCTCTGGATGGCTTAATATTCCCCAAACATGTCATTTCTCTCCTGGAAACTCCCTTACTTGTTGCTTACTTTGTTGTCTGTTCCTTGAATGTCCATCCCTACTTCCCCCCACCAGAGAAACTTCTGTTCATCTCTTAGATCCTAGCTCAATGATTACCACCTCTGGGATGCTTTCTCTGAACACACAGGTTCAGTTAGTATCCCCCCTCTTTTGTGCTCCAAAAGTACTTGGAAAACACCTCCATTATTCTACTTATCACATTACACTACAACTGTTTGCATGTCAGTTTCCACCACTAGACCAAGAGATCCTTGGATGCTGGAAACTATCTTTCCTTTAGTCATCAAATGCCATGCACTGTGTTGAGTTATAGGAATAATAACTTCAATAACCACCACGTATCAATCCTAATAAGTGAGACCCACTGTACTAAAGTGCTGAATGTCTTATTCCTGCATTAATTGAACAGATATTTACTAGGCATCTACTAGTACATAAGTGATCAGTGAGGTTAGTACAGGGAGATACTGTACATAGAAACAACTATTTAAATAACATAATTTTAGATATTGATGATGCTAAGAAGTCAATAAAAATAGGATGGAGCAGCAGAATGACTGGGGTGAGGGAGGAACTACTTATTTCCTGGAGGTTCAGGGAAAGCCTCTGAAGAGATGGCATTTGAGCTAAGATTTAACTGATGAGAAGGAGACAAGCACACAGAGAAGGGATTATTATATATAATTCTCATAATATCTCTTCTAAGCAGAGTTTTTATCCCCATTTTCAAGATGAGGAAGGTAAAGCTTAAGTGTGCTGACCTGCTAAGGTCACAAGCAGAGACACAGCTGGGACCGGAACCCAGGTCTGCCTGACTTGGGGTGAGGCTTTTCACCACTGTCCTCCTCGGTCTCCCTGATGCTGGGCCTTTGCTCACTCCATTCCCTCTGGCTGGAATGCCCTTCCTCTCACCAGCCCAGGGAGTCCCTCCTCCTCCTTCAGTAGTTCACAGGTCACCTTCTCTGAGATGCCTACACTGACAACCCCAAGTGGAAAAGAATACCTCCCTCCTTTAGACATCTACTGCCCTTTGCATTCTTTCATGACACTCACAACTATCTCCTAGTAGAAATAAGTATGTAGACCGTTCCTTTGCTTGGGCAGTGTCTATCTAATATGCCTGATGTATCCACTCCATCCTCTACCCTCTGAGCCTATGTAAATTCTTGCTCTCAACGTTTATAGGATGAATCAAAAGTAAATAAATGAATGACGTTCAGCGGATGTGGCCAGATGACTGAGAACCCTCCAAGTCTTGCCAGGGCTCTAGCACTAAAGGGGGATGCAACTGTCAGGGCTGTTTCTGAGCAAAGGCCCAAGGAGAGCCAAGAAAATGAAGCAGAACAAGAGATAGTCTTAATGAGATAGCTGAATGCACACTAACCTGCTTTAAGTTGGCTTTTCATAAGCTGTGTCTGGGTTCCTTCCCCACAGTCAAAGAGCCAGCACTCGCCCTCACACCGAAGGACCAGAGCAGAGGCACCCCGGGTTGGGGAGGGGTATGCTGCACCTGTCCCCAGAAACGTCACATCCATAGACATCTTCCACCCTGCAAAGGAAAGATCACCCAGGGATCATTTCACATCACTGCTCAAAATCACCAAAAACAAGTTCCCGTGAGATTTACTGTTATTTATTTTTTGGTTATTCAGAACAGTCTGGATTCCTGTTCTCTAACAGTTTTCCATAGGAATCCAAAGGAATATTTTAATAACTCTTAATCAGTTAAAACCACAAGTTACCAAACCTTATGGGACTGCTCACAAACAAATAAAAGAACAGCCAAACTCAGTCAATTAAAAACTATCGTTGAATTCCAACTATATGACATTCTGGAAAAGGCAAAACTACGGAGACAGTAAAAAGATGGGTGGTTGCTAGTGGTTTAGGGGGAGGGAGGGAAGGATGAAGAGGTGGAGCACAGGGGATTTTCAGGGCAGTGAAACTATTCTGTATGATACAGTAAAGATAGACACATGTCATTATACTTTGGTCAAAACCCATAGGTTGGGGGCTGGCCCAGTGGTGCAAGCAATTAAGTGCGCACACTCCAATTCAGCAGCCCGGGGTTCGCAGGCTCAGATCCTGGGTGTGCACTGACGCACCGCCTGTCAAGCCATGCTGTGGCAGCATCCCATATAAAGTAGAGGAAGATGGGCATGGATGTTAGCCCAGAACCAATCTTCCTCAGCAAAATAGGGGAGGATTGGCATCGGATGTTAGCTCAGGGCTGACCTTCCTCACAAAAAAAAAAAAAACAAAAAAACCATAGGTTGTACAACACAGAAAGTGAGTGAACACTAATATAAACTTTAGTTATTAATAATGTGCCAATATTGATTCATCAACTGTAACAAACATACTACACTAATGCAAGATGTTAACAAAAAGGGGCGCTGGGGGGTGGAGTGAGGGAGTATATAGGAACTCTTTGTACTTCCCACTCATTAATTTTTTTAAAAAGTCCTTCTAATCAACACTAAATAACAATAAAAACTCTAGCTGAGATTCTGGGCAAGAGATGGGATTTAATTATGCTGACTAAGTGGTATCTCTGGTGCCCATGGTGATCAGCCCTTTCTCTGAACTATCATAAATACAGCAATGCTCTACAATACTCTACAGTAATGCTGACCCCTCAGAGTACAGCTGAGTGGATGTCTCACTCTCCTAAAAGACAGGGTCCATGACTGGTTAAGACTTGGGTTTCTGCTCTTATAAGTGATCAGCAATAACCTGTTGAAAGTGTAGATTTCTGCCAACTCCTGGCATCTCTCTTTTTCCTTTCACTATTTCTGGGCACATCCGCTACCTCTGATATACTTTTGTGATGGGAGATGTGCATCAAATAGAATAAATGAGAATAAACTCAAACTTACACATAACCAATTATAGATTATCCATACTGATGGCAGGGAGGAAAACACATAAATAATTTTAAGAAAAAGTACTAAAATAAGAAAATTTGACAGAGAGCTATATATACAATATATAAATATGCAAAACTATCAATAACTTTTCTCAGTCCTAGCAATAACCAGATAAAAATAAAAATGGGAAAAAAATCTCATTCACAAGAGAAAAAAAAAAAAACCTTATAAAATCATTAGCAATAAAGTTAACAGGAAAGGAAAAGGACCTAAAAGACTCAAAGAAATGGAGATACACATTACGTTCCTTCATAGGAGGATTTAATAACACAGAAATGTTAATCTTTTCATAATTAATGTAGATCCATTTAATGCAAATTCTATCAGATTTCCAGTGGGATTTATCTTGGAACAAAAAATAATCCAAAGATCACATGGAAGAAAAAATAAATGTCTGGGAATGGGCAGGAAAATTACCTAAAGTAGTGACCAGTGACTTACCTTTCCAGATATCAACACTTACTACACTAATCAGGTATAATTAAAAGAGAATAATATTGGCACAAAAATAGAGGTGAAAGAGAGGGGATAGCTGAGAAATAAGCACAGGTATGTATGGAAATCAATATATAACAAAAGTGTTAAAAGGGTGGTTTATTTAACAAACAGCACTGACATAATTGGCTATTTTTGCAGAAAACAGTATGGGCCGGGGCCCATGGCCGAGTGGTTAAAGTTCCTTGTGCTCCGCTTCAGCAGCCTGGGTTCTCAGGTTAGGATCCCAGGTGCAGACCTACTCCACTCTCCAGCCATGCTGTGGCGGTGTCCCACACACACACACAAAAAACTAGAGGAAGTCTGGCACAGATGTTAGCTCAGGGCTAATCTTCCTCGAGCAAAAAAAAGAAGAGGATTGGCAATGGATGTTAGCTCAGGGCAAATCTTCCTCAGCAAAAAAAAAAAAAAGTAAAGCAAGATTCTCACTTTGCATTATATATAAAAATATATTCCACGTGGTTTAGAAATTTAAATGTAAAAGGTGCAATAAAATATGTTCAAAAAAATTAGGAGAATATGTATATAACTTTGGGGATGAGAAAGCCCTTCTTGGCAAGATAGGAAACTCACAAATGAGAAAAAAATGGACATTTTCATTACATAAAAACTTTCATATATCAAGACTCATAAAGTCAAAGGACTAAAAAAACACCTGGAGAAAACTGTTTGCATTGTATGATAAAGGGTTAATGCCCCTAAGAAAAAGTTCATGAAAATGCATTAAAAAAAAACAAAAATAACTGATAGAAAAATAAGCAATGGATATATACAGGAAATTCACAGAAGAAACCCAAAAAGCCAATAAGCATGAAAAGTGCTCAGTCTCCAGGTAGTTAGAGTAAAGGCAAATTAAAGAAACAAAGAGACACCATTTTTCACACATCAGCTGGCAAATATTAATGCTAGCTAGTGCTAACTAAGACAAGGGAAAAAATGTACTCTCATATGGTACTAGCGATGGAGGTGTGAATTGCTATTATGTTTTGGGAGAGTAATCTGGCAATACACATTACCAATAACAACGAAGCTGCTAATGATAACACACTTTAACCCAGCAATCCCATTTTTGGTAATCTATCCTACAAAAATAAAGGATCTATGTACAATGATGTTTATTCTGGTACTTTTAAGGTGGCTAAAATATGGAAGCAATTTGAGTGTATGTCAATAGGGAAACACCTGAATATTTTATTGCACATTCATACCACGAACTATTTATTCTGCAGCTAAGTCAGGTCTGCAACTCTTGTCCTGGAGGGATAACAATAAGAAAAGTTACAGATAGCTATGGCATGATCTCACTTTTAAAACAATGCCCTAAAACCCCTACATTTATATAAGACAGCAAGTCTGGTGTGGAAGGATACACATCATATTGTTAATCTTGGTTATCTCAGGGGTGATTAAAATGGTGGTGGAGAGGGGATTATTAATTTTTCTTTTGAATCTTGGGATTGTTTTTGGTTGCAATGAGCAGCATTTATCTATTTAATTTATTTAATATTTTTTAAATGATGATTTTTAAAAAATGTCTTAAGTCTGAACATGCTTTTCTAATTACACATCACCTAATCTTTCTGTCCATTTGGGGACACAGTCAGCTCCCCACCCTCCTCGTGCACACATGTGGTACATCTCTCCACCCCATGCACAAGCCTTGAGGTTACTGCTAGTGTCCCTTCCATGTGCTACTCCACATTTTCACTTCCAAGATCCAGCCTTCCTCTGATAATTAAGTAGTTTAATTTGCAGAGGCTTTCCTATTGGACTGCAGTTTGAAAGAGAGGTGAGAAGTAAACAGAATGTAGAAAATTTAAAATATTAAAAGTTAACAAATGCAGAAGGAATAATAGGATATAATCACTTTGCAATCCCTAACAAAGAATGCATCTAGGCCAGTGGTACATAACATATTAGAATCACCTGGAGAGCTTTTAAAACATATCAGTGATTGGGCTCCATCCCAGAACAATTAAAATCTGCGAGACATATGTTTTAGTATTAAAAAAAAATTCTTCCCCTGATTCTGATGTGCAGTCAGATTTGAGAACCACTTAGTGAAAGGCTAATGGAGAACTATAATGGATGGATCAGGCTGACCTGAATGCACTAGTCAACTAGTCAATCTTTTTGAAAAATTTTTATTATGAAAAATTTCAAACACACACAAAAGTAGAGACATTAGTATAATGCATTGCCACATACCCATCACCGAGCTTCAACAATTATCAACTCATGGCCAATCTTTTTTCATCTATATCCCCCACCCATCATCCAAGGATACTTGATAAGTGGTATTGGGTCCTTCCACCAGGAAGCACACACTGGCTGGCTGGCTGTCTTTTTTGATGTTAGCCACTACTGATCATTGCCAGGATCCATTATTTCGTTAGGGGTTTCCAAAAGGTGATATTCTCTCATTCCTTCTGCAGTTATTAGCTGGCATCCTTCTGTAATTCTCCAGTCAATTATTTAGCTACCCCACAGTACAAGTTTTACTGAAAGTTCCACTGATCAATCTTAACACCACAAGAGAGACAAGACCTTATCTAATGGCTGATGTGATGCAATATGAAGTACACAGTAACGCTATGAGATTTTCTTGCCAAAAAGTGAACATGAATCTGAAAAACGCTGTAATCTAAATACCAGTTTATTAAAGGGCACCACAGGGATGGAAAAAGCAAAATCCAGTGTGCAGGAAACTTTAGCACGACAAATGACTTGGTTTCTGCAACAAGTAAAATACAAGAAAAAAATAAATAAAACAAAGGGGGGGGATAAAGAGATTAAAAGAGATGGAAGAGACAACCACCAAACATAACATGTGTAGCTTGTTTGGATCCTGATTTGGACAAACTGATAACGGGACGGAAAAAAAGAGACAACTGGGGAATTGTGAATGCTGACTGGATAGATGATAACATTAAATGCTTATTAGATGAATAACGGCTTTGTTTTAAAAAGGAGTTACTGTGCTTTATAAACGGAAGTATTTAACGGATGAACTGGTACATTTAGATTTGCTTTAAAATAATCCAGTGGGGGTGAGGGTAACAGATGAAACAACATTGATCATGAGTTGGGAATTCGGTACACTATTTTCGTATATATTTGAAAGTTTCCATAATAAAAAGTTTAAAAAGAAGCCAAATAATCAAAAATCAAAACCCTTCCACTAGGTTGGGAAGTAATCAGCATTTAATCAATGGTTCATGTTTAGTGACATACACCACTTTAGACACTAGAAATTAAAAGCGACCAAACTCGATTTGGTCCCCGTCTTCTTGGACCAGAAAACCCAGCCGCTTCCCTTCTCATGACTGTGATCCACCTTGGACGAAGTGCATATTCCGGTCGAGAACCTAGCACAGGACCACAGTACTGTCACTTGACACTCTGGGCCAGTGGTTCTCAGTCCTGGCTGCGTATCACAGTCACCTGGTGATTCTGGGGCTCAGCATTTGGAAGGCTTCCCAAATGACTCTAAAGGCAGCCAGGTTGAAAAGCAGTTTCCCGGCAGGCAGTGCCAACCCTGCCATCACCCTGTGGTGTAGGTAGGGCAGATACTGCCACCCTCCATTTTAGAGATGATAAAAGAACCGTGACCCGGAGAGAGAGAGTGGGCGGCCAAAGCAGAGTCAGGGCCAGAAGCCAGGTCTCCCACCACTAGCGAGCCCAGGCTCTCCTCCAAGTCACTGCCAGGCTCCCCAAGGGAGGGGTGGGCGGCGGCCGGAGCGCAGGGCGGCGGCGGCTCCCGCCTCGAGGAGCGGAGGAGGCACGCCCTCGCTCCCCCGCGCTCCGCGGGCCCGGTCCTCCGCCCCGGGCCCCGCCCGCGAGTCCGGAGGAAGCACCCGCCCGCGCGGCTCAGCCCACACGGCAGACGCGGGGGAGGCCGCGGCGGCGCAGCCCCTGGCCCGCCCCCCTCCGGCGCGCCCTGCCCCACTCACCCACTCCCCCAGGCCCGCCGCAGGAGGCGAGGGAGGCGCAGGCTCGCAGCGCGGCCCAGGCGTCCACGGGGCAGCGACGGGCGCAGGCGGAAGTGCGCCGCCGGCCGTGTCCGCGCGCGGCCGCTCTAGGACGCGCCGGAGGTCCGCGCTCGGTGGCGCCCAGCCAGGGAGGCCGCGCCGGGAGGCTCGGCGCGGGCTGGGGACACCGACCCCGGCCTGCAGTGGGTCCCTCCCCTCCTTCCCTAGCCCCCATCAGTTCTCTGGGTGAAATGGTGGCGGTAACCTGTGAGGACCACAGCGCCCAAAGTGAAAACGTTTACTGTTCCGCTTTTTGTTTTGTGTGTAATGTTTTCAAACAAGAGTATTCCCCTTGATGCTTAGCTCATGCCTATGTTTGTGTAATTTCTATTGTTTCATTGAGATGAATCTCTTTTGATCACTAAATCTAAAAGTTGAAGCTTGCGGTGCCTTAAGAGGAAAAAGCAACGTGCCTTTGAATCAGAGTTCGTAGCAGCATTGCTATAGATCATGAGTCTGGTCTATTCCACTTTTCTATTCTCGGGATACCTGGAATATTTGCTTAAAATCTGAAGCTGCCTGTGCTGGACTCAGACAAGCATTGAAGATGTGTGTGTTCACTCTTAGCACACAGCATAGCCTGCTGGACGGGCAAGTGAAAAGCCGGGGACTGCTGAGTGCAGAATCTTCACGTGGTGATTACAAACCACAAGGGGAAAAGACACATTCGGTTTATATTCCAGCTTATAAAAAGGTATTTCAAGCTCCTGTGCAGTGCCAGATGCACTGATTTTTGTTCGACGTACTCGAGGTGGTCAAAATATCCAGCAGCTTCATAACAGGAAGAGAAGGGCTGTGTCTGTGGGGTTTTTGAAACTACCAGGAGAGAGATCGAGAACCCTTTCCCCTCACCCCACCCCACCCGACTGCTTTGCTCAATAAGCCATTAGGTAATTTACTTTGGGGCCTCTTCAAAGCTTTTATTTATTCAAGTATTAATTAAGCTCAGACTTTGTGGAGAGTATCATTTTTATGCAGAGAGAATTTTTAAAATATGTAATGTCTCCTGGTTTTAGGAGCACACACTGAGGTTGGGAAAATGTATCAGGAAACAGTCAACTAACAATATGAGGGAACAAATGAGAAGATAAAATGCGTGATAAGAATATGGAAGGAGGGAGATTACTAGCTGTGAGATTAGTTAAGAAGAAGTAGGACTTGAGCAGGATCTTGTAGGATGGTTGAGACTTAGATTAATGTTATTGAAGTAAAAAAATAAGGTGGATTTGGTCTGGTGGGGTCTGATTTAGCAAAGTATTACACACCAGAACTTGAACTTTATTTATCTGACCCTTGCCTAGCTAAGAAGTGCTCAAGAAGACACATGTTCTGCTGCTTGGTCTTGATCACAACTCAGCTGGGGGTCCCCGGGAGCGGTACCCTCCATAGACCTGTCCTTTCCAGAGGATCCTGGCTTGTTCCTTCCCACCCCTCAAGGCTTCCTACAACTCCTCTTCTTAGGGGTTGTTATATCTTTAGAGAATAGCGGATAGCACTTTTTGTTCATTTTTAAAACTTTCCATTATGGGAAATTTTAAACATACTTGAAAGTTGAGAAAACATTTAATGAATCTTTATGTATAATCATCACTCACCTTCAACAGTTACTAATATCTGGTTCATCTTGTTTTACCTATTACCCCTGCCTCTTCAAAAGCAACAACAAAACCCTGGATTATTTTAAAGCAAATTCCAGACACAATGTCATTTTATCCGTAAATACTTCTAGAAGCATTTAAGGATCTTTTCTTTTTTAGCATCTCATTATTACATAATGATGGTGGGCAGTTCAGTATATAAATATAAAAGATAAGGACTTTAAAAAATACAACCATAAAATCATTATCGTAAAAAGACAATAATTCCCTAATATCATCAAACATCCAGTCACTGTTCAAATTTTCCTGATCATATCATAACTTTTTGAAGCTTACTTGTTCGAGTCAGAAAATCAAAATAGAAAATTAAAAAATTAAAAAGCTCTCTTAAAAAAAACCTTAACTACCGTATTATTGTCTCATCTGAAAAAGTTAACAATAATTAATATAATCTAATTTATTATAACATCCAATTACTTATTAATATCATCTAATAACTTCTTAATGTTCAAATTTATGTAATTACTCCTGAAGTATCTCATATGGAGTTGGTTTGTTTGAATTAAGATCCAAAAAAGGTTTACATGTTGTATTTGGTATAAGTCTTTAAAGTTTCTTTTAAACTTTAATGGTTTCTTTTCTCTCTCCTTTTTTCTTGCCACTTATTTGTGGAAGAAATTAGGTCATTTTTCCTCTAGAATCTTCCAGATGCTGGACTTGGTTGATTGCATCTCCATCATATCGTTTAATAAGTTCCTCTACCCCCTGCATTTCCTATCACATGAGAGTTAGATCTAGAGGCTTGTTGTAAGCCTTTTTAGTAGATAAAGCTAAGAAATATATATATTTTAAGGTAAAATAAATCATGAATTCATACTGATATTTTCAATTTGTGTAAGATTATAGAGTTTCTACTTAATTTCTTTAATTTTATACTGATGTCACTATATCAAAAATCTTGATTCCTGGGGCCAGCCCGGTGGTGCAAGCGGTTAAGTGCTTGCGCTCCACTGCTGCGGCCTGGGGTTTGCCGGTTCGGATCCCGGGCTCGCACCGATGCACTGCTTGTAGAGCATGCTGTGGTGGCGTCCCATGTAAAGTAGAGGAAGATGGGCGCGGATGTTAGCTCAGGGCTAATCTTCCTCAGCAAAGAAAGAGGAGGATTGGCATCAGATGTTAGCTCAGGGCTGATCTTCCTCACACACACAAAAAAAATCTTGATTCCTAATCACATTAACATAATTTATTTTATTTAGCCCCACTAAAGTAACCCTGGCACACGACTGGATATATCCCACTAGGTATGTGCAGTCAAAATACTGTCTTTTTAGGTTACTTAAGAATGATTTTTTCCGTATTGTTCTGCCATCAACCTGATATGCAATTAGATTCCTTTGTTTGTTTATTTTTTGGTATTGTCTTTTTATTTTTTACTTACGCAAATCACTTACATGGGTTCCAAAGTCAAAATTATATTCAGAAAAATATCAATTCCTTCCTTCCATAGGTGACACTTTCTTAAAATTAGTTTTAGAGGAACTTCTAGAATGACAGCATGAGGAGCTCCATGGGCCCATTCCCGGGAAAAACTGGTTAAAGTGATCAGAAAACAACCATTTAAAGTCTCTGGAAATTGTCCTAAGGACATTTGGCAAATGAAGAAACGTTTATTAAAACCTCTACTAAAATTCAGTAGGAACAATGAGAGTTTGTAGTATTTGAACTGAGACCTGCCCCTCACTCCTCCCAAATCACTGAGACTGAACCTCCACTCCAGACTGGTGCAACCAGTAAGACAGGGCTCCCTGTCCTCCCAGCTCACAGTCAGAGGGCTGTCTTCCAGGAAGGGCTAGCACAAATTAGTGTTTCTCATCCTGTCCCCAGCCACTGGTTGTTGAGACTAAATTCCAGGCACGTGTGCCTAAGAGGTGGGATTGAGGCTTTAGTTTGGGCATGTCCTGCCAAGAATAGTACTAGGGCCCTGATTGCCCTTGCCATGGCTAATAATGTGGTGGTTCCATGCTGAGGGAGGCCAGCCAAGAAGACCTGAGGTTGGCACCGAAACTGTTAATCTCAAGTTTGTGTGCGAGATGTGCAATAAGCCAATCACTGAGACATCCTTGCTTGGAGATGGAGAAAGGTTTATTTGAATTGGCCAAAACAAGAATGAAGGAGGATAGGTTCTCTCAAATCTGCTTTAACAAAAGAAGGCGGCAGGGGGTCTTTATAGAGCTAAGGGGCTTGGAAGGAGGAATTTCAGAGAAACAAGGAGAAATCCATGTTTCTTTCACTCCAGATAAGCCCTTGGACAGTCAGACTTCCGGGTGTCAGTGGCAGCTGGGGTCTGGTTATCTGGTGGTGGTAACTTCCTTAAAGGCATTCCTTTTCTTCTACAAAACAAGCTCATAAATCCTTGTGATCCTTGAGACACCCCTTAGGTTAAACAAGAAATTGGCAAATTAAGATTAGCTTTTTTTCTTCTATGTCTGTGTTTGGAACAGGGTTGAATATTTACAGTAACCCTCAGGTACCCGGCTTTAAGGTCACTGCCCTCCTCCCCAAGTGCCCAGCTCCTAAATTGGTGGTGTCACACGAGAGAGTAGCATGCCTTGTCTCTAGCTCTCCAGCCCCAGTACCTTGGCTCAGAGATTTTGCCTGGGGGACAAGCAGGCCTAAAACATACCTCTTAACCTTTTCCAACAGGTTGACTTCACTTACAACAGACTGTGAAGACATTCAAGCTTAAAGGCACTCTCAAAATGAGTGGAGATGATGGTGAAAGGGGATTGGGAGGAGACTGGTAGAATCGTTAGACATATAGGCTAAATTGTCAGCAGCTAGTTTTCCTAAGAGAACTCAGGGGCAACAGAGAACTGGGAGGAGCCTACCTGGAGTCAGAACAAAACTCAAACATTGACCTGAGGAACTATCCCTTCAAAGGAACTCAAATTTGATTGCTTTAGTGTATGGAGCAATTTATGCCCCAGGACATTGTTGAAAACAATAGAGCAATAGCTGGCAATTAGAGGAGCCTAATAGCTGGGTGTAGTCAGGGAAGGAGACAGTCACAGAGAGTCCTGCCAAAACCATTGTCATCCCGGGATGATTGTGGGCATACCCAAGGCTGCATCGCCTGAGGAGAAATATCAGAGGCTTAACTCTGTAGGCTGAGGGGGGGATAGGCTCCACTAAAATAAGCCAGCAGTCACTAAACAAATAAACAAGCAAATAACAATAATAAAGCCCAGAGGTGGGGGACAGTACCCAGAATTGCTACAATAGAGTATCTAAAATGTGCAGTTTCCAACAAAAAATTATAAGAAATGTAAAGAAACAGGAAAGTATGACCCCTACAGCGGAAAAAAAGTAGGCAATAGAAACTGCCTGTGAGGATGACCAGATATTGGATTTAACAG